ATACTAAGATTAATATTAATTTTTATAATTTTTTATATACATTTATAATAAATTGATACGGGCCAAGATGAATTTGGGCCATGATGAATTTATCTCAAGTCTCAACGTTGATTCTTGATACGGGCCATGATGAATTTGGGCTTTGGCTTTGGAGAAAATGGAGGTTTAGCCCAACAAGGTAAAATGGTCCATTTAAATGCACCGTAGCAAAATCCTTGTTATTTATTTAGGTATTTAGGTATTTAGGTATTTAGGTATGAGTATACGCACTCGACTCATTTTTTAAGCCTAGTAAGATTATGTTAAAATATTTATTTTATTTTATTGTTAAAAGGTATATGTTAAAAGTATTAAAACAATAAAAATTAGAATTTAATTTATTAATTATTTAATTAAATTTATATATATCTAATTAAATTTATACATATAATAATACTAAAATTAATATTAATTTTGACATTATTTTAATTAGTTGGTTTGTTTTATAAAAAAAAGCATATTTTAAAAAAATATTTGTTAAAAATAATTAATAATTAATATAATAATTAATGTTTATTATTTAATTAATTAAAATTAATTTCTAAATTAATATTTTTCAGATATTATAATATCTATTAAGAAATTATTTTACAATTCAAAATCCTTGGAGTTATAAAAACAGAAACAGAATTCTTAAATGAGAAAGTGGCCCTAGTAACATACACCGGTCCCTTTTTACCAAAAAAAAAAACATACACCGGTCCCATTTAAGGTCACAGTTCATTGGGCAAAACACCACTCCATTTATTATAAGATTTAATTTTTTTTAAAGGTGAATTGTACATTAAAAACATAAAAAATAAAATTTAATTTATAAATTTATAAGATAAATTATATTCTTAAAATATAATTTATCATAAATATATATATATATATTATTATGAAAAGCAAAGGGAAAAAAATCGCACGTGTCTTAGGAATCTCACCTCCATATAAACTTATAGCCAATCAGAACCCCCGTCGCCTTCTGAAGGGTTTTAGGGGTTGGCTGAAACAACGAAACAACGAAACAACAAAATCTAGGGTTCTTCTTCATCCTCTGAAGATTTCTGCAAAAGTCTCGAATCCATGGATCCGCGAGACGGTGAGGCGAATGTCCACGAAGAAGCTCACGATTATAGATCAGCAGAGCACATAGAAGACAATAGGTCGCAGCCTCACTCCGGCGACGGAGCCAGCCCGGGGTAATTTTCCATTCCTTTGTTTGTTTCCTGTTAAAGTTTTTTAGCTTTAGGAAACCAAGAGAAATTTATGAGAAAAATTAGGGAAAATGGACTGTTTCCTTGCTTATTTTTCTTTTAATTTCATTCATATTCCTCCAAGCTATACAATTTTAATGTGTTTTTGACCTATTTTAAGTTGCTAATATGCATCCTCTGCTAATTGTTTTGCTTCTTAAGTCTTGATATTTTCTTTTAATTTTAAGTTTATAGTAATACGACTGCTTAATTTAGCAAAAGTGGTAGGGAGCAGAGATGTGGATTTACTTAATTAGGGAACTTTAATAAGCTGTCTTCTTTGTATAATGTAATAATGTATATCTCTGAAATGTATCATAATTTATTCTACATTTGAAATTTGCAGAAAAATTTTCATAGGAGGTTTAGCAAGAGAGACAACTTCTGGTTAGTTCTTTAGCTTGTCGAGATTAGTAAAGTCCTTCATATTGGTATGGCATGCTTGTTTTCTATTGTACTTATCCCATTCTTGTTAACCTTCTTTTCATTGTTTGTGCAGCACAATTTCTCAAGCATTTCGGTAAATATGGTGAGATTACAGACTCTGTTATTATGAAAGACCGGAAAACAGGGATGCCTCGTGGTTTTGGTTTCATCACGTACGCAGATCCTTCTGTTGTTGATAGAGTAATTGAGGACACTCATATTATTAATGGAAAACAGGTAATTTTTTTAAGCTTAGGTCAAAATTAAGTTTGGCTATCTTGTTTTAGTCATTATTACTTTGGTCATCATCTTGGTTTATTGATATTTTGCATGTCTTCTGGTTGGCCAGGTGGAGATTAAGAGAACCATACCGAGGGGAGCCGTTGGGAGTAAGGATTTCAAGACTAAGAAGATTTTTGTTGGTGGAATTCCTGCAACGGTCTCTGAAGGTGATTTCTTTTTCTTTTCTGTTTGCCTGACATTAAAATAAAGGCTATTGAAATTTATCCAACAATATATTTTTTATTAGTATTTAAATTAGAAGGTGCTAACATATTTATTTATTTCCCATGGCTAGATGAGTTCAAGGACTTCTTTTCACAATTTGGAGTGGTTAATGATCACCAGATCATGCGAGATCATGCCACCAATCGCTCACGTGGTTTTGGGTTCATCACTTTTGACACAGAGCAAGCTGTTGATGATCTCTTGGACAAGGGGAATAAAGTTGAGATATTTGGAGCCCAGGTATACAGAATGCCCTTTAAATTAATTGGATTTCTTCTTTTCTTATTATTTTGGACAATGTCTCTTTGAACAAAGATTGTGCTACGTGATGATAATTGGTGATGATGATGGATTCTCCCATATTTCCTTTCTTGTAGGTTGAGATAAAGAGAGCAGAGCCAAAAAAACCAAATGCACCTCCGCCCCCATCCAAACGATACAATGATTCTAGGTCTTCATATGGTGGTGGATTTGGAGATGCTTACAATGGATATGGAGGTGGGGTTTTGGGTGGTGCTGGTTACAGATCAAGTGGGGCCTATGGAGGTCGAGCTGGTGGGTTTGGGGGATATGGCGGTGGTGAATTTGGTGGGTATGGAGGATATGGAGGATATGGGGGTGGTATAGGCCCATATAGAGGAGATCCCTCCCTTGGGTATTCAGGTCGTTATGGAGGAGGTTTTAACAGAGGCTATGATATGGGAGGAGGTGGGTATGGAGGTCCTGGAGACATGTTTGGAGGATATGGTGCTGACGGTATGGGTGGTGGCTATGGGAGTGCTTATGACACTGGTCTTGGAGGTGGGTATGGAAGTAGTGCTGGAGGTCCCTTTTACGGAAGTAGAGGAGGGGGCTATGGTGGTGCAGGGAGTGGCCGATACCATCCTTATGGGAGGTAGAAAAAGGCATTTGTTGCTTCAGACATCCTTTCCGAGTTCCATAATGCAGCATGCAGAGCAGGATTAAGCATTTTGTGGTACTATGTATCCTCAGGGTAAAAATTCATGTCCATTTTTAAGGAACAAAGATTTCATCTTATCCAATTTTATTCTCTTTTACTAGGACCACGAGATCGGTTCTCTTTTTCTTTGTTTCCGATTTCAACTGTATGATTGAATTCTTTCCATATTTGTATGAATGGTAGTATTTCATCTCATGTTGTGAATATGATGTCATTTTATTTTTGAAGGAATGCAATGATGGGAATAATGATGGTTGTACTAATTTTCAGTACTAAATTCTAGTACAAACTGTACAATTTATGATAACCATTAAGCGGCAATGTATAGACCCGACTGAAATAATTTTGTTTTAAAATTTGATCCTAAAATTTATAACTCTGAATTCTGATCATGGTATTAAACAATGTCTTTTCTGATACAAAACGGGTGGCAAAATTCTTCATTAATTTTCCCCAAAAAAAAGATGTATGAACTGAATTACTAAACCATTAAAAAAAGAAGGCAACAGCAAGGGTATGAGCAGAGATATTTTATGAGTCAGAACGAAGACGAGCCAGAGAAATTATAAAATATCTCGTGCAGCTATTCTCTGCAATTTAAAGGAGAACAAGAAATAAATTTATATATTTTCTCTTTTTTTTTTTAATGAAAATATAAAATTTTCTTCCTGCACTTCTAGGAAAGTAACTTTCTTTTAAAAAAATAAAGATAAGATACTTGAGTTCCTTCCCTCTACTTTTCTGGCGGGGGCAGGGATGTCATAAAGGGGAAATTCAGAAAGCATGGCAATGGTGGCATCAAACTCAATTTCCTATCAAAATGTGCAATTTTTTTTTTTCTCTTCTTTATTTGTTGTTGATTATGGAGGAAAATCGTGAATTATTTTGTTTTATTAATTTTTTGCTTTTCATTTCTTCTGATTCTAAAGACGAAATTCTGCTTTTTTTTAAAAAAAAAAAAAAATTTCAATGGGCGCAGCTCCTCCGTGTAAGTTGCAGTAGGAAAGATAGAAGAAGGGAACACAACAATTACTCCTACAAAGTAGTCGAAATTACGCCCCCGCCCAAGTGCCTTGCGTCCGTCGCTTCCCTCCCGTATGTCCCATTTCTCCTTTTTGGTTATTCATCCCCCATTTCCTCTATTAATGTTATACTAGGCTTGCCGGGATTATAACTTCACTTTCATTTCTTGGTATTTCCTGTTTTTGCTATATGGGGTTATGTTATGGAAAAAGTATTTTCTAGTTTGAATTGCAAAACACTAGACTCTTATCTTATTTCTGTTTGGTCACTTGGGATAAAAGATATTATGTTGGGCAACTCAAATGTGTTGTTTAAGTAAAGTTAATGTATTTTGGTTTCTTAAACCTAGGAACAGGATATATGGGATGCTGTCTCAAATTGATAAAACTAAGGCTTCTTATTTTACTCAATTCCGAAAGCATAGGTTGATCCTTTAGCCTAAAGCACGGCCCGTCGTAATCTTAGTTTTATTGTTTTCAAGATGTGATAAAGCAATGGAAGTGGGTTGAATTTTCTAAGAATGCAACTATTGTAAGAAAAATGGCACTGAAATGGGGAGGAAGAGCTTACTATTGGAAGGAACTTTGTTAAAATGATATTTCACACTTGATAGGGGTAAATATTGCCCGCTTTAGAATTAAGGGAGAAGTGAAGGGACAATTCGATGTTAATTTTCTTTTCTTTTTCTAGTTTGAAATACTATTGATTAAATGGGCAAAAACCAACATTTAACACTTTACCTTAAAAAATTGGTAGGTTTTAGTTTCTCACCTTATAATATGACACTTTTAATCATTTACCTTACAAAATTAGTAGCTTTTAGCCTCTTATCTTACAAAATTAGTAAGTTTTAATCCCTCACCTTATATTATGACATTTTTAGCCTCACCTATACGAATGGAAGAAAATAATCTTCATCTAATATCAGGTTATAACGTTCTATTTGTTCTGTTAACTGACTGTTAATATTCGTTAGTATTTCGTTAAATGAAATTTAAATTCAATTTTATTTGTTACTTCCATTAACGGAATGCTAACGGATATTAACAATAAGCTGATAGAACTAACAGTCAGTTAATAGAACTAATAGTACATTATAATCTAAAGTTAAGTGAGGGCTATTTTCTTCAATTTGTATAAATAAGGGGCTAAAAGTGTCATAATATAAAATGAGAGGTTAAAACTTACTAACTTTGTAAGGTGAGGGGTTAAAATCTACTAATTTTGTAAGGTAAAGAGTTAAAAGTGTCATATTATAATGTTAGAAGCTAAAACCTATCAATTTTGTAATGTGAGGGACTAAAAGTTAATTTTAACCGATTATATGATGGGGTTCATTATTTAGAGATTTTGCCTGGAGTTCATTCTCTTGAATTTGAAATAAAGGTACTAAAGCGTTGACAAGAAAGATTCTCAAAAAGGAAGAAAAGTTTGATCAGTCTCTCAGCTCAATCAAGTGTCCTAGATTCTATTTACCTCTTTAATAAATGAACCCCCCTAAAGTACTGAAATTAACTGAACACAAGAACGCAGAGCGTTGGATTAGGATTTTGAAGATTCTAAGGCATCATTGTTTGCTGATTTTTGTCATGATTTAGAGGGTACCAGCATGCAGACACTAGTAAGATATGTTTTTAGATATGTTGGTCCTTTCTCTAAATGAACTGAAAAGTCAATTTTTATATGGTATATGTGATCTGTAAAAAGGATGATCGGATGGTCTGGTCCCTCCATTTCCATGTAGAATGCAGACTACTGTTGGACTATCCATGTGATATCTGTTTTGTGAGTTGTAAATGTCAGAGGCCCTTCATCATGTGTTTGAAAAGCAGAAAGGTAGGAACATACACTTCTCGTAAATTCTATCCATCCAACATAAAGAATTAATTTTAATGATCTGTCATCTCGACAATGTTACCACTCTAGATCATGGTGATATGTAGGCTGAGTGTATCTTGTGAAACGTCATATTGCTGCTGGGGTACTTGTGACCCGTTGTGTTTGTTTCTGATTGTTCCTTCTGTATCAGAATCTGCAGTGTGGAGAGAGCGTGACAATCGAATACGAACTTCGCAAAGGGAACTATAAACCTTGTGAGAAGAGGCTTGATGTTTTGTCCACTGGGAGATACCTCTTGAATTTATATCTAGAAAACTTACTAGTACAATCTTGATGATCTTATTCACTTCCACTATTCTTCAATCTTGAAATGTCATGCCTTGATCACATCCTGGATTATATGCATGATGAAATCATGTTGAAATCTTGCTCATACATTTGTAAGGGCATTTTCTATATGATTCCTTTTCATTACCATCATCTTATCCAGACTCTGCATATCCTTTCCTAGCTTCCTTACATAGACAGCATCAAACACTTCAATCTCCAGCGTGCAATAAAAGATTCTTGCTTTCTGTTCCAGGAGTCTGTACTAATCATGAATGGTTTTCCTTTTTCTCAACTAATCCTTTTTTTTTTAATCTTACAATATCCAACAAGTTGGATCTAAAGTAGCAACATAATAATTTGATCAACGACTATTATTGGACAATAAATAATTACAAATTAAGCCATGCTAGTATGAACTAAATTCTACACTATTCCAAAAATACCTGAACTTAGCAAACATTAGTGAGATTACATTTCCTCTTTTTTTTTTTCTGTTAAAAAATGACTATTTTTCATTTTCGTCCATGTCCTGCACCTGAGCATAAATGGTTAGAGAGGTCTTAAAGGGAGGAAAACAATTATGGAAGGAGAGAATGATTTCATGTATGGTGTTGCACACTGAAAATGATTGTTGAGACATGTTTAAGTGATTGGTGACACCGGCCCCACAAGTCTGGATACCCTGTCTGGATATCCACCCAATTTTACACGTGTCAATATCACAGAGCGTTATGGATACTGTTGGAGACATTCCCTCATCTCCTGTGCTGGCCCCAACTAAAATTCAGTTCTCCAATCAAAGACCCTTCCATCACCGTTAGATCACCTCAGTCAAAGGTCAAGAGATGTGAGCTTATGGAACCCACTTAACAGCCTCACAATCTCTAGCCATTCGAGTGTGGCTCGTTAATATCACTCGACTAGTTTATTAGTAAATAAATAAAAAATAATATAGTTATAATATTATATAATAAAAAATAATATATATATCAGTTTTGATTTTAAATAGTAATTAAAATTTTAATTTTAAATTATTTAATTTTATATAATTAAAATTTAATTTCAAATTTAAAAATTATTTCATTAAATATTAAATTTTAAATTTAAAAACAGATTATATTAAAATATATAATAAGTTTTTAAATATGAATATTAATATTTAATAAAATAAAATTTCAGTTTTTAAATATAAATTAAAATTTTAATTATTTTTAAAAGTGAAAATTGATATGTAATCATTTTTATATAATATTATAAATTTATAATTTTACTTAAAATTATAACTATAAAATTACTAAAATCAAAATGAATTCAATTAATTTTGACTCAACTCGGCTTAGCTTCAGCTCATCCTCATAGCTGTCTCACCGTTGCAACTCACGGGACTACCAAACTACCATATGCCTAACATCTACCCTACAACGCCTCCCCTTATTGAGAACCTTAGTAGGTCCCACCCACGTCCCAAAGGTACAGTAGTGGGTCCCCAAGCGTGGCGTGGCAATGCAAGGAGGGTCCACGATGAATTTGAAGTACTGACGGTTGGAAATGACTCTTATGCCCCCTTAATTAAGGGCAATAATAATAGAGTTGGCCATCAAGAAGTCGGCAGGAGCGCCCCGAAGAATAAATTGGGTCACCAAGCAGTGCACGGTAACGTCGTGACAGCCATCCACGTACCGCTGCTTCAGTTCACGTGCGCACTTGTGTAGGGGCTCCCTTGTTCCCGCCGAAAATGTAGTTAATTTGTGCCGTTATTTACTTATCCAATGTGATTACTATTAATTTTTGTTAACACCAATCCAATATTAATAGCATCAAGAAAAATCCAAAGTTAATTACTTACAAAAATTTTAAATTCGTTGTTGTTGAAATAGGCCCAACATTCAACTTGAGCTGTACATAATAGGCCTAGACGGCTGCTCATTAGTCAAAAGTGAGGGAGCACCAGTACAACAATTACAAGCATACCCATATAGGCCAATGAGATGTTTACATGTACAAATGCATGTCAGCATTTGGAGCTATAAATACCCCAAACTACCTCCGAAAGTAATCAACTCCACTACGCTTCTCTCTCTGTAATTACTCTTTCAGACCATCTCTTTCTAAAATATTAAATATTGCTAACTTGAGCGTCAGAGTGTCTTTTCTAAGGAAACACCCTCGAAAATTTCAAGTGTGGAAGCTGTTGAAGACTTCAACAGTGTTGGATCGTAAAGCTGCCCAAACAGTTGTCGAATATGTCCATCAGTGATTTCTTTTATTTTCCTTTTATAAATGTCCGTTAGTGAATTAGTGATCTTAATTGCTTCACCTAAAAACAAAAAGAAAAATATTATTCAAAATTTGTAAAGATCTACAAAGATGTTGTAAATTTGAAATTGTACAAAGATTAGATAAAAATATATGTGCATTGCGCTGTTATAAAGATAATTTTTTATATCATTTTTTGATATAATTTTTGTATGTTATTAAATAAATAAATACATTAGTTTCACATAAATTAAAAAAATAATCATTTAAATTACATATTAAGTTATACAAAAAAAGTGATATAAAAAATTATTCAAAAATTATTTTTCAAAATATATCATACCCATAATTTACTATTTTATTGTTTTTCTATATACATTACAATATTATATTAAAAAACTATTTAATATAATAGTTTAAAATTAGTGATTATTTAATTTATTTAATTTAATTATTATTAGTACTTATTAATAATAATTATATATTCTTATTTATTAAATTCAATAAAATTATTAACCGTTAATTTCAAATTTATACCTGTTATTCCAAAAAATCTCCTTAACACGTAGCATATGAAATGGCGTGCCACTTGCTTTGCTTAAAACAAGAAAGATTTCTCCGACAACTCTCTCTTCTTTCTAAGCGTGGAACTCAGTTTGTGAGTTGATGGAAGACCGTCGTAAACTGCGCCTTAAAGATCAGACGATTGGCAGAAACAACGAATGAACTTCCTGCACTAAATGGGTTATACGGCAAAATGCCTTGGATATGATTCCAAGGACTCCTCAAAGCTAATATAATCAATAAAAGTTAAGACTACAAGGAAAATAAATGATTGCTAAACTACTGAAAATTTAAATAAACTTTAAATATGCAAATTGAGTTGAAATAAAGCTTTAAAAGGAAATTTAATTACAGCAAAAGTAAATTAAGTTAAAATAAATAAAACTGGAAACAAGAAAAATCTACTGGTAACATGAAATATAAATTAACAAAAATAGAATTGAACATGAAATTAAATGTCGACATCATTTGATTTAATTAAATGAAACTTGGAAAATAGAAAAGGAAAAGAAGCAATCCAATTACAAAGAAATACTACTGAAGGCAATGAAACTCACCATTACAAATCTAATAAAAGGAGAACTGAATTGCTGAACTAATTTAAGCTGAAGCGTAAAGCTAAAATTAAATTAAAAGGTTTGAAACTAAAATAAATCTGAGCATAAAGAGAAATTGTGCTGAGTTTGTTGTGTGAGATGTCGATCTTTTACTTGATCTCGATCTTTTACTTGATCTTATCATTAAATATTTATAGCACCTTGGCAGCATGGTGGAGATTTGCAGCAGCATCATGAAAAACCAATGGTAGCGTGATATCTGTAACAAATTGATTAATTTGTTGGTGCTATGATTATCCTCTTGGAATCTCGCAACAAAAGAACGGTTTTGCTGCCATTGTGAAAATAACCACTCAATCTCATCTGAAAAAATTCACACCAACTTTCAATTAATAAAATATCTGCAATCATAGGTGACACATGACAGCACTCTATTTGTTGTAAAATTAAGTGTAAACAATACCAAATAGTCTTTAATCCTCCAATAAAATTTTAATTTTTAAATTTAGTTTCATGATTTCCACGTCTTCATAAATGCATGTAAAAGAAATACATCTTTTTATAATAGCAAAAGGAGTATATAATAGCAAAAGGAGTATTGGATTGTTCTTTTCTTCTTTTTTTTTTCAACGAATCGGTTCTAGTAATTAAAATCATTTATCTTATAGTAACGTCAAAATAAATTTAGAATAATATGACGAAGGAAAAAAAAAAAATTCAAAAGTTGGTGGGGAATATCAACAAGGGGGTGGCTCGAAACAATGCACTTGTTTCCCCCTAGTATCAGATTACTGATAATAATTTCAGAAAAACAAGAACAGTGAAGAAAACCAAGAAAGGAAGAAGCTTTTGCTTTCGGGGAAACAATCTGAAGATAAAGACGGCATTTTTCACCACTGCTTTGCTTCTTCTTCTACCTCGCTTTCTTTTCCTTAATCGCCCTTCTCTAAAGGATGATAAATAACAAAGCAAAAAGCCTATTCCTTTACCAGAGAGAAAGCTGTTTTCATATTACTATTATCATTGCTCCCTTTCTTTCTTGTTTCGATCGGATCTGAGTAGCTCTCAAGAATCAATTCAATCGCCAAAAGCTGTGGCACTTTCCTCTCGAGCATTTTCCTCTTCTGGGTCTTTCACTTCATGAAGGATTTTTGCTTCCCCGGCATTGTTATCTCTGTTCCATGATCAGGTGGGTACTCTTTTTCAGTCTACTTCCTTCTCTGTTTCTGGGTCTTTTTCAGTTTTTCGAGTTCTTTGTTTTTTGGGTTCCTTTTGCTTTACTGTTTGAATTCGGGTTTTTTTGAGTATGGTGTTTTCTGTTCTTTTAGCAAATTTTCTTGTTCGTGCATATAAGAAACCAGGGGCGGCATTTGGGTTCTTGAGAAAATCGTCTATTTGGGCTTTTTGCTCAAGGAAGCAACGTGAATTGTTGGGATTTTGTGAGATTCTTAGTAACGATTTAGTCTTTGCAATGCTTGAAAGAATTAAATTCTTCGAATTTGGCATTTGTTTCATTGTGAATTACGGTTTATCTCTTGTTTTACGGGTCAGCTCTTGGTGTCCTGGATTCTCCGTAATCCTTGGGGTTTTGTTTAATTTGAAGTTTTCTTTTGGTGATTGTATTTGTAATGGGAATGGATAGGGTTTGTTTCTTATGTTTGAATCTGAGGATGGAGTATCAAAATTCATTTATTGGTTGTAAACAGCCTAGTTTTTGTAACAGTTCTTTTGTTTTAGGGCATTTAAGTGGAAATATTCTGTTCTTAATGGCTTTAAGATGGGATTTTCGTCATAATAAACATCATTGAGAATCACTGTGGTAAAGTCAAATTTTGGTTTTGCAGTTGCTGTTGTTGAATTGCGCGATGATGGAGTCACTTGTTAATGGAGTTAGCTCTTCATTCAAGAATCTGAATTCAGCTCCTGTGATTGGCACCAACCATCCCTCAACATCTGGAACTCCTCGACCTGCTCGGCATCCATCTCCAAAGCCATCTAGAAATGAAGGGCTTTCCTCCACATCCTCTGCAAATTCTCATAATCATGGTGTAAAGATGGTTCATAATCCCAATGGGTTTACACAAAAGCATCCACAGAAAACAGCTAATGGGAATATGCGGCACGAAGAACTGTCCAATGTGGAAAAACAATATTATGCTTCAAATAAGGGGAAATCTGAATTTCTGAGTTTAAGTAAGGATCTTAAAACAACGGCTGAAATTTTGGGCAAGAAGGATTCCATGGTGGAAACCAAATCTAACATCGAACATCCTGTCCATGATTTTGAGAGTTGTATATCAACTGTCTTGATGGAATCAGAAAGTAGTGCCTCAGGTCTGTGTAAAGGAGGTGTTGGGCAGCTGAAGAACGGCATAACATCTCAATTAGAACGAACCTTTTGTCCAAGTCCTTCAAATAGTCTCTGCACTGCCACACTATATTCAGAAGCAAAAGAAAGTTTTACCCACACAGAAGTTAGTGAATGTGGAAGTAGTGTAGATAAGTCTGGTGACAGTGGTGAAGTTAGTAACTCATGTGATTTCATTGAGAGCAGAAAGACAAGCATCCATAGAGGCAGCACCGGTAGTGATGTTAGTGATGAAAGCAGCTCCAGTAGTCTAAGCACCTTGTACAAGCCCCACAAGGCAAATGATATAAGATGGGAAGCAATTCGAGCTGTCAAATCTCAGCTGGGGGCAGTGGAGTTGAAGCACTTTACGTTGTTGAGGAGACTGGGATGTGGAGATATAGGTTATGTTTATTTGTCAGAATTAGCTGGCACCAAAACTTATTTCGCTATGAAGGTTATGGATAAAGCTAACCTGGTGAGTCGGAAAAAGCTTCTTAGGGCTCAGATTGAGAGAGAGATTCTGCAATCTCTAGATCATCCGTTCTTACCTACTTTGTACACACACTTTGAGACAGAGAAATTTTCTTGCCTGGTAATGGAGTTTTGCCCTGGAGGAGATTTGCATGCCCTCAGGCAAAGACAGCCTGGGAAATACTTTCCAGAGCATGCGGCCAGGTTAGCAATCATTTTCTCCTTCTCCCTTTTCTGTGATCTGCATTCCTTTTCATGTTATGGTGGATTTGATTGTCTTATAGATGTACCAAAACATGTGTTTAGTTTCTGATTTAGTTCTCCTAGTGACAGTGTGCAGAAGAATGGACCTAGGAATTTCTTTAGGGGTCAAAACATGCATGCAAAAATTTCTGATATTTTGTGATTCCTCAATATTTGTTAATAGCTAGAAAAAATGAAAGGACAATATATGTAGATGTCCATTCTTTTGTTCTTCATAAAGGTCTACTGGTACATAAGGCTTTCACAATTCTTTTGAGCAACTATTGTTAGCTTTTGAGTGACTGACATAACTTTTGAATTGATGTTCTTTACAGCTTCTCATTTAAGGTTCTTTTCTGCATATGATTTTCATTAGAATCTGGAGGAAGTGCAGTTAGCTGCTGAAACTAGGAAACCAGGTTTTCCATTATGAAGAAACCAAAAAGGAAAACTGCAAAAATGTAGTTCTTGGATGGGCATTCTGAAGCTTATAGATTTTCATCTACTAGTACTATTTAAAGTTGCTCTTAATTAATACAAATTCTAGGCCAAAAAATAAATAAATAAATAAATAATAATGCCAATTCTTATGGTCCTAACTTCATTAGTTCTAGGATGTGAGCACAACCTTGATATCAACATTTATGCTAGTTTGAGCTTTGTCACTATGTCTTTGAACCTTGTTTGGTTTCCAATCTTCATCCTCATTTTTCAAGTCTTTAAATAAAAGGTTCATCCATTCATCTTCAAAGTTTTATTTATCATTGATGGCATCAAATAAACACACTTGAGAATGTACATGATTTTTATCCTATTTCTTCTTTTCTTTTTCATTTAAATTGCTGTCTGATATGAATAAATCAGATCAAATAAGTATGGCTTAGAATCTTTATTATTATTTTTTGCATCAAGTTGCAGATTCTATGTGGCAGAGGTTCTCCTTGCTTTGGAGTATTTACACATGCTTGGGATCATTTACAGAGATCTTAAGCCAGAGAACGTTTTGGTGAGGGAAGATGGACACATAATGCTTTCAGATTTCGACCTGTCTCTAAGATGTGCTGTCTCTCCAACTCTGGTCAAATCCGCAAACTCATGCCTGCAGTCAAAGAGTTCTGGATACTGTGTTCAGCCTGCCTGCATAATGCAGCCAGATTGTATCCAACCCATGTGCTTTGGACCACGCTTCTTATCAAGCAAACCTAAAAAGGAAAAGAAGAGCAAAGTTAAGAATGAGACAAATCATCAAGTGAGTCCTCTTCCTGAGCTCATTGCAGAACCCACAAATGCTCGATCCATGTCTTTTGTAGGAACTCACGAATACTTAGCTCCTGAAATCATCAAAGGCGAAGGCCATGGCAGTGCTGTAGATTGGTGGACATTTGGGATCTTTCTGTATGAGCTTTTATTTGGTAAAACCCCATTCAAGGGAGCAGGAAACCGAGCTACTCTGTTCAATGTGGTAGGCCAACCATTGAAATTTCCTGAGCGTCCTACTGTGAGTTTTGCTGCCAAGGATTTGATCAGAGGTTTACTTGTAAAGGAACCACAGCACCGCCTTGCTTATAGGCGTGGAGCTACTGAGATCAAACAACATCCATTCTTTCAGAGCGTAAATTGGGCGCTAATTCGTTGTACAAATCCCCCAGAGGTGCCTAAACAAGTCATGATGGACATTGCTGCTAGAACTGAGATGGATAAAGTACCTTCCAGTGACGAGGTCCCAGGTGTAGATGTTAAGCCATCAGGTAATTATTACGAGATTGATTTCTTCTGATCCTTGTGATTAATTCCTTTCCTTCTTAGAAACAGTAGTTCCATCACCTCAACAGCAATGATACTTGCCATTGCAAGGAGCTATACATTTTTAGTTACTTTGATAAATCACATGTTGTAACTCCACTTTGATAAACAGAACCCTGAAAATGCAAATGGATAGAGTTGAGGAATCAAGTGTTAAGTCTTTGTTTTTTCCGAGTTCATCTTGATTTATGATGTTGGCATTCCATGATCAATCAGAATCATGGTATTGTCAAAGTTAGATTCTTTTGGAACAAAGTGTGAGATGGACATTAAATTGCACATCTCTTGGTTGTTTCTACAAAAGAAATGCAGCTCTGCTGCCCATCATAAATGCTCCTCCCGATTTGTATAAAGTTGGAATTTGAAATTTTAAGTTGACACCCTTTTTTTTTTGGTTTAAGTACCATTTTAGTCCCTCAACTTTACACTTTGGTACCAAAATTGTCCTTCACCTTTAAAAAGTACCAAAATTATCCTTGAACTTTTATTTTTGGTACTAAAATGGTCCTTCCGTCAGTTAAATGACA